TGAATGTCAAACGTCAAACTAACTTTACCGCCGTAACTAGGCCAGGGATCAAAAACTGACATGGCTGTGATGCAGCTGCATGTGGCTGGCAGCAAACAAGCTAGTTCACCTCAAATTGAATGTTGTCAGAGACTCACTCGCATGTCGTTTAAAACCTGAATGGCTTTCTTACATCTGAGTAGCAAATAAATATATTGGAACAATCTTCACGCAGAATTTTCACAAAATAGCAGTTCATAGTACACGGAAGCTCCAAAAAATAGCACCGTAAATAAAAGACCTAAACTAAAAGCATCGAACAATATTCCAATATTTAGTCTTCTGTAGTCATATATTTATTTATGTATATGTATATGTATATGTTAATTTTAATATTAATATAGAACGAAAGTTTTTTTTTAGCTACTGCGATGGTGCCCCTCGGGAGTTGGTCCGGACCAAAGCAAGCAAACTAGCGGACTTTCCTGGGATGGATATGCACCCCTAAACAGTAAACAGAACTCCAAACTAGGCCAGGGATCAAAAACTGACATGGCTGTGATGCAGCTGCATGTGGCTGGCAGCAAACAAGCTAGTTCACCTCAAATTGAATGTTGTCAGAGACTCACTTGCATGTCGTTTCAAACCTGAATGGCTTTCTTACATCTGTGTAGCAAATAAATATATTGGAACAATCTTCAAGCAGAATTTTCACAAAATAGCAGTTCATAGTACACGGAAGCTCCAAAAATAGCACCGTAAATAAAAGACCTAAACTCTTTACCGCCGTAACTAGGCCAGGGATCAAAAACTGACATGGCTGTGATGCAGCTGCATGTGGCTGGCAGCAAACAAGCTAGTTCACCTCAAATTGAATGTTGTCAGAGACTCACTCGCATGTCGTTTAAAACCTGAATGGCTTTCTTACATCTGAGTAGCAAATAAATATATTGGAACAATCTTCACGCAGAATTTTCACAAAATAGCAGTTCATAGTACACGGAAGCTCCAAAAAATAGCACCGTAAATAAAAGACCTAAACTAAAAGCATCGAACAATATTCCAATATTTAGTCTTCTGTAGTCATATATTTTCATGTGAACTGTTCGTTTAAAACAATGGTCTGGACAGACACTGTAATATCTTGTATAGAAAATACAAATGTAGTCAAACCACAAAGTTTAGTTATTTTTACCCGTGCAGAAACCAAATACACATTAAATGGAGCTCAAATAAGCCCTGGTGGCTTTAAAGGGATAGTTCGCCAAAAAAAAAAGAACATTCTGTTAAGTTGTTCCAAACTTGTATGATCTTCTTTCTTCTGTTGAACACAAGAAGATAAAACAAAACAATGGAAAAAGTTTATTTTAAAAAATCAAGCAATGCATTTATGATCCTAAATGCTGCAACAATAGCACAATTTAAAGTCAAAACAAGGTGTCATTCATAAAGACGCCAACAAGAGTCCTATTCGCTGGTGTAAACAAACCAGAGCCATGTGCTATGCAAATAAATATGTATACAAAATCTGATCGGTTCATAAATATACAATATATATTGTTTATTCAAGTTGCTACATATAGGTATTTTTCATTATTTATAATTAATTACAGTACAGACATTTATGTCACCAAAATACACTAAAATAGACTAGCAATGCACAGCTGTTTGGTCATGACTTTCAGATTCCAGCTGGAGGCACCTCACAAACCCGCAAGATGAGGAGTAGCATGAACTCCTCAAGTCTAATTAACCAAACATTAAATGAACCATCATCATTTGAAACTTAAACCATCATATGCCCTATGTTCTGCAGTTTTAGCAATAATTCGTAGGCTTAACATGGGCGAAAATTACCCTATAGTCTTGTATTTAATACAGTGCACAGCAAATTGTACTGATTTCGAGGATAATCATCACAACCTGGTAACTGGTAATAATAAGATATGGTTTTGTCAGAATTAATTATGCTGTATTTCAGGAAGAACCTAGTTCAAAGAAAAACTAAATCAAGGAACTGTAACAAAAGTTACCAAACTACTAGGTAAACAGAATAACCTACTTGACTGGTTAAGACAGTTCTAAGGTATTTTGTTCCCAAAGAGTGGTAACATAAGACCAGCTTATGCCACTACTCAACATGTAAACTTCAGTAGATGCTCACCTAAATATTTAAGAATATCTATTAAAGGGGTTACCAAGTCGGATGCGACTAAACATGAAAATATAAAATATCTGCAAACAATTTTTGCACCAAAACTATTCACAGAGTCTGATGCCAATTTTCTCAAAACGGTTAAAACTCAAACTATTTGGCATCCCCAAATTAATTAATAATAATTCATTTATTTCTGACTCTGTATGAAGGATTTCCTAGGGATGCATTTTTCATTTGAAAATCTTCTGCACCTTTTTTGACTTAGTGTGAACAGGCCTCAAGACTACCATTTCAGAATTCAAGATCTCGATATTTTAGGTCAGCAGTCCTTTTCAAGTCCTTTGAAATTGTGGATTTGATGACTGTGGGCTAAATTGTATAAATCGCTGTATTAGAGCTTCAAAGTTCATTTCGGGGTTCAGGCATAAGCTTGTTTGCATGTCTAAGACTTCAGAGAACATAAGCCCTCCAAGTGAAAGCTCATCCTCACTTCAAGGTCCTCTATATGAAATGCTTTTTAGCATACTCTTCATAGCTACATAAAGGTATTTAGATATATAGATATAAACAAACAGGTATGCAACACATTCACTGCTGTTATAGTACATTAAAACGCATGAGTTCATTAAACTCGGGAGTAGACTTGTATATAATTAAATGACTGTTAACCTGAAACATATTAGTTACAAAATAGTAATTTAGAATACATACATTTTATAATCTATTTTATTCTCAGAAAATATATATATATCTCAAGATGAAGTGGAGATGATATGATTACCTTTATATTTTGTTTTGAAATTTTAAATACATTACAATAACATCCCAATAATACACACACAGAGATTATGGAGGAGGAAAAAAGCTCCTTGTAAACACCAGTTTACAATCAAGCGCTGCACTAGATCTATGACAGCCAACACACTGATCACTCGATTTCAGTTCTGTGCTGTTACAGATGCCTCCTTATTTGCTGAACAATGTAGGGATGCAACAATATGCAGTATGATAATTGTACATTTAAATAATGCTGACATTTTAAAGTATAGTAAAAAATTATATATTTCTCCAATCAAATACCATTTTGTCCTGCTGTCATTGTTTGTGTGGCAGCATGTATGCTACAAAGGATGCATTCTTTCAGTGTTTTTTATTTTTATTTTAAAGCAATTGGACAAATGCATCCCTAGAACAAGGTGTCATTTTGCATCAAATATTGCAACATGTTGCATTGGAGGCTGTGGGGTGTGTTGGCTGCCGGTCAGACCAGTGTTCCAGGTGAAGGGGGCTCAGAGCCGGACTCTTTTTGAGTGCTCCCCTCTAAGGGGAAAGGCTCTGGGTAGAGAGAAAGCTCCACGGACCTGCCATGATGAAAAGAGAAGATGCTTGTGCAGACTGCGGGTGGAGTCCTCAGGAGTGGGCAGAGAGAACGGAGGCGCTCTGCGGCCGAACGCTGCAGCAGTGGACAGCTCTGTGTGATGAGGGAGCAGGTTGGGAATAGAAGAAGTGGTGGATCCAGCGGAGGGATGTGACAGATCGTACGCCGAGAACAACATTGCGTCCTGTGGGTGCTGCTGTAAAGGGATGAAGGGTCCACAGGATTTCGTTCGTGTCACCTTGACCCGACGGGGTTCGGCCTCTTGACCCCGCAGCAACATGGGGCTATAGGAAGGTGGGGCGGCAGCCAGATGTAACTGCGAATGGGAGAAACCTTTGTAGTGCGGAGGGGTGCCCGATGGAGGAGTGGAGAAGTCCGGCCAGATGCGTCCTGCTGACTGGTTTTGTTGAGCCTGGGCGGGCCTCTTTTGCTGTTTGCCCCAAATGTAGTCCATCAAAATCTCATTGTAACCTGTGCCACTACTTTGGCCGCCGAGAGAGGAGCGCATTCGACTCTGGTCTTTAAATCCCATCATCTGTCTCTCTGGGCTGCCTTGATAGAACTGACGGAGCTTCCCATCTGTGAGGGACTCCGAGCTCTTGTATGGTCCAGCTCGGGGTGGCATGCCGTTGCGAGGAGGACCGGGCTCAGGGAGACTTGAGCGGTCGAGTAGCGCCTCGGAGCTGTTGCTACGACGAGCACGGGAGCTGTAGGGGCAGCTGCGGTGCTCAGAAGAGGAGCCCTCCAAAGATGCCAACGGGACAAACTGAGGAACATCTGGACTGCCACACCACTGCTTCAGTGCAATACCACCAGGCATCTCCGGCCTAGGAGGAGAAGATAAGACATTAAGAAGTTATAGTAGTATAGTAGTAACAAGTTTTTTTAAAATACATTTGGATCTAAAGTGGATCTACAGTGATAATGTAGTAGAGCTGACATCTGAGGGCACCATAAGTGCACTCCTGACATGAGGTCTGTTCCAAAAGGTAGACAACATAATTATGCTGTCTGTGAAGATATTTTATTTTGTCCAGATTACACTGCATTATCCTTTGCGGTAAAGCCAATCTAGGAAGGACAATGGTGGAGTAAAAAAAAAAAAAAATCAAAAACATACTTGGTAACACTTTACTTAAAGCCTTTATGTATAATGCATTATAAAAGTAGTTTTAATGCATGAATTATGCCTTGTAATGCACCTTATAATGCACTATGCATTTTAAATTCGGTTATAATTATTTACGACAAGATATAATGTATTAGAACACACAAATTATGATTAATTATAATGCATTATACCCTTTAATAATCCTTTATAATGCATTATACATAAAGACTTTAAGTAAAGTGTTACCATATACTTATTTCATTCTGTACTGAAAAGTATTGATAAAACAGTTTAATTTGAATTTTGTTATTCCCAATATCTGTGTATATCATGTTCAAAAGTTTTGGGTCAGTAATTTTAAAAAAATGCTTTTATTCAGAAAGGATGCTTTAAATTGATCAAAAGTGACAGTAAAGACGTTTATAATATTACAAAAGATTTCTATTTCAAATTGATGCTGTTCTTTTTAATTCTTTCAAATGCAATTCTTTAAAGAATCCCATAAAAGTGTATCATGGTTTCCACAAATATATTAAGCAGCACAACTTTTTTCAACATTGATAATAAGAAATGTTTCTTAAGCAGCAAATCAGCATATTAGAATGATTTTTGAAGGATCATGTGACACTGAAGACTGGAGTAGTGACTTGCCATCACAGGAATAATATGTAATATTTTTTTTTGCTGTAACCTAAATATAACCTTGTTGAGCATAATATTTTAGCATAATGTTTCAAAAACAAAAAATGATCAAAAACCAAACAAGCTAATATCAAACTATATTAGAATATTTTGTATATAATAATAATAATATATAAGAATAATTTGTGCAGATTGTGCTATTTTTGTGTTGCTGCCCATCTAAATGTAAGTTCAATTATCTATGTAGCAGTTGGAACCTCACTAGCCATAGTGTACATATAGCAGAAGAAATAGTCATAAAAGTCATTACCTCACATGAACGCTGATTGGTGCAGTGCGGGACAACAGCGGCGTGGCTGGAACACTTCTGCCCTCCACATTGGATGCACTTCTTGGCAGTGAGTGACTTGGGCTGGATGAACATTCATAAGTTATAATTGTAGTGTAAACCTCACCCGTTTCAGCTAGCGGACACATCCCATCCTCCCTCTCTGCTCACCTCACAGAGCTTGAGGCTGAGTTGCGGCGAGTCCTCATCTCGTAGTAGATCTCTACAGGTGACAGCTTCCTACAGAGCCTACTGTCAGGACTGCCTGGGGCCAGCCGGGGGTGAGACAAGGAGCGCTGCTCAGGTGCCACACTGGGAGACGAATCCTCTGTAAACCACAGTCGACAGGGTTGTATATCAAAGTTAGTGTCATAAACAGGCCAGTGTGGTAAAACAAATCAGAGTACTGAGATGTACTTTCTTTGTTTGCTAATGTTAAGAGGCCTCACCATTGTCATGTGATGTTGAGTCTGACATTGAACTGCTTTCTGACTTCACAGTTTCCTCTAAAAAATTAGGGGAAAAAATGTAAGTCGTATTAAAATAATTACACGAAGATCAGAGATTTCCATGGTCTTAATATAATAATATATTTATTATTATTATCTAAATAGATATTAATTTCTACATTTCATACACTTCTTGACCAATGATTTTTAAAGAAGTCTCTTATGCTCACCAAGGCTGCATTTATCTGAGCAAAAATACAGTAATATTTTAATATATTTTTAACATGTAATTTAATTGTTTTGATAGCAAAGCTGAATTTTAAGCAGCCATGTCACCTGATCCTTCAGAAATCATTCTAATATGCTAATCATCTTGGTGTTCCCAGAATTATGTCTCATTATTTTTAAAGTTAAAAACAGTTGTGCTGCTTAATTTTTTTGTGAACAATTTTTTTTTTTGATTAATGTAATGCATTCTTGCCGAATTGAAGTATTAATTACTTTAAAAAATAAAAAATAAATTTACTGACCCCAAACTTTTGAGCAGTGGCCACATTTTACAATATCGTTTGGTATCAGCGATGCTAAACCTGGCCCAATGTGTCTGAAGGCACACATTTTTGTGATCTAAATTCTTTCTTTATGTAAGCTTTTTGTTTAAAACACATTATCAAGTCATTTATAAATATTGAGGTCTGTCAACATGTGTCCATTGTCCTTTTCAAGCAATGGCAACAGTCTTGGATAATGGGGGGAAATTACTCTTTTACCATGCACGTCCTACAGAGCCATTTTCAATGTATGCACTTTTTTTCCAAATTACCAATGTTTACCAGAACTTATTTGGTGCTTTTGTGCGTGTATATGTTACCTGTGTGGCATCCCCGATGAACAGTCCTCTTACTGTGCAATGCATTTTTATCAGAATCGATGCTCCGGCGCAGGGCACCACTGAAGAGAGCCTTCATCTGCCGTCGCTGACCAGGGTCGTCCTACATGGAAGACACATATGGTTGTTATAGTATAAAACTGTAAGGAGAATCCTTTTATTAACTTTCAGTAAACAGACTCACCTCTCCTTTTGAGGTAACATGAGGGGTCAGGCCAGCTCGGCGCTGAACAAAGGGAGGTCTTTCCCCTTCTTCTAAAGGAAAATCCTGTGGAAGCTTCCCTGTGAGCTCCTGAACAGACATTTAAAGCTTTTACTGGGAATGTCACAATGTTTGCTGCCATTTTTTAGAACAGATGGTTCTAATAAGTACGCCCGTTTCATTTTCATTTTCTTTTCTTTTTTTTGTACATCTACATTCGAAAAACACAACTTAATAACAAACAGTTCTTCACATCAATGCAAACCATAAAACCAACACTCACACATCAAATAAGAGAATTAATTTTCAAAACAGAGAGAGAAAAAATAAATCAAGTAGACCTAGAAACTTTGTGAAACAGCTGGATACACATTTTCTTTGCTGCTGAAGTCAGCATTTTGCATTTGTTTTTTTAAAAAGAACTATATTTTATAGCGACTGCCTAGAAGTAAAATACTGTCTCAAAGTTTAATAAACCATCTCACCGCCTCCAGAAGACACACGTGTCGCAGCTCTCCGAGACGACTGTTCAAAAGGCTCTGCAGACTCTGCTTTCGCTCCTGCAGCTCTGAGATTCGTTCTGCTTGCAGCTTGCTGTCCTGACAGCCCTGGACATCTGTGCATGAGCAGCATGATGTGCATTAGAAAGTAAGCCAAAGTTCAAATTATATTTACACTGCCATTCTTCACATGTCTGTTATTTTTGATCAAATAAATGCAGCTTTGGTGAGCATAAGAGACAAAAACAAAAATCTTACATATTAAAACTGAAGCATGACAAAACGGAGCATGCTAAATTAAATAGCCAAGATCAACCAACACAAAAATCTATAGCATATATTGTGCTTCCATACTCCATTATCAATATGGAAATATGTATGCTCACCTGGAGCCCCTAAGCCCATGGCAGTGATCAGGCGACCTTTGACCTCCATAGAATGGATTTGAGGAAGTCTTGTGAAGTCTTTAGCTCCCAATTAACCCTCAGCTCCTGCGGACAAAGAATGTAGAGCTAATGAATATGATATAATTTGAGTAACAAATGAACTGAGACTGATTTGAGAACCTCCAATCACCTTGTAGTTTGAGTCACGTGAGGCATGTCATTCTGTGTTGGGGTCTACAATGCTACAGTATCCCAATGGCCTGCAGGGGGAGCCACGGTGCGACTTCTCAATTTACTGCTGAGCCCTTAGTAGTGAGGAAAAATCGTATATGCTTGTTATACACACACATTAAAAACGTCTATATGTTCCTGCTGGCTGTAACACAGTCCTCTAAATTATGTCTTATATAAAAGTTCAAAGACTAGTTCTGCCACAAAACTCAATTTGAAGACATCAGAATACATTCACTTTAGAGGGGCAAACAAATAGCACTATCAAAATGAATAATAAATGGTGATCATTTCCATACTTAAATTGCTGCTGTGCCTCTAAATCATTTATTAAACAGCTACCTCTCTTCTTACTTTCAGGAAGTTACGTCATGTCAGGGTGTGAAAGTAAGAGCCCATATCAGGTCATTGTGGCAACCTAGGTTACCCAACAAGTGATTCAAATCTGGGTTTGCAGCTTACTGCGACTTTAAGATATTTGACCAAATAACTCGTATTCATTTAAATGAACAACAATTAATAAAACCAAACACAAGTACAGCGTAACTTCACCTATATGGTGTTGGCTATGCTAAAATTTACATTTCTAACAATTACAACTCTAATCACATTTAAATAGTTTAAGATCATTAATGATTTTTTTTTTATCCTATTAATTTTGTCATAAAAACATTATTTCCAGGTTTAAATTTGTAAATTAAATTTAAAATCTTGATTATTGAATATATTACTGGCATACATGTTAAACCTTATAATAATTAATATGATTAATTTAACAATTAATTAAAATGTTAATAAAAACCCTGCATACCGACACCCATTTAAAATCACTCTGGATCCATTGTACTTCCACAAACAATAAAAAAAATTCAAAAATCTTTAGGAAACAGCTGGGTGCACATTTCTGAAGTCAGCATTTGTTTTTTTGTTTTTTTTGGGGGAGAGAGAACATTATTTTATTGTGACTGCCCAAAAGTAAAATGCTGCTTTAAAGAATAATTAATTTCCTCACCGCCTCCAAGAGACACACTTGTCGCAGTTCTCCGAGACGACTGTTCAAAAGGCTCTGCAGACTCTGCTTTCGCTCCTGCAGCTCTGAGATTCGTTCTGCTTGCAGCTTGCTGTCCTGACAGCCCTGGACATCTGTGCATGAGCAGCATGATGTGCATTAGAAAGTAAGCCAAAGTTCAAATTATATTTACACTGCCATTCTTCACATGTCTGTTATTTTTGATCAAATAAATGCAGCTTTGGTGAGCATAAGAGACAAAAACAAAAATCTTACATATTAAAACTGAAGCATGACAAAACGGAGCATGCTAAATTAAATAGCCAAGATCAACCAACACAAAAATCTATAGCATATATTGTGCTTCCATACTCCATTATCAATATGGAAATATGTATGCTCACCTGGAGCCCCTAAGCCCATGGCAGTGATCAGGCGACCTTTGACCTCCATAGAATGGATTTGAGGAAGTCTTGTGAAGTCTTTAGCTCCCAATTAACCCTCAGCTCCTGCGGACAAAGAATGTAGAGCTAATGAATATGATATAATTTGAGTAACAAATGAACTGAGACTGATTTGAGAACCTCCAATCACCTTGTGGTTTGAGTCACGTGAGGCATGTCATTCTGTGTTGGGGTCTACAATGCTACAGTATCCCAATGGCCTGCAGGGGGAGCCACGGTGCGACTTCTCAATTTACTGCTGAGCCCTTAGTAGTGAGGAAAAATCGTATATGCTTGTTATACACACACATTAAAAACGTCTATATGTTCCTGCTGGCTGTAACAGTCCTCTAAATTATGTCTTATATAAAAGTTCAAAGACTAGTTCTGCCACAAAACTCAATTTGAAGACATCAGAATACATTCACTTTAGAGGGGCAAACAAATAGCACTATCAAAATGAATAATAAATGGTGATCATTTCCATACTTAAATTGCTGCTGTGCCTCTAAATCATTTATTAAACAGCTACCTCTCTTCTTACTTTCAGGAAGTTACGTCATGTCAGGGTGTGAAAGTAAGAGCCCATATCAGGTCATTGTGGCAACCTAGGTTACCCAACAAGTGATTCAAATCTGGGTTTGCAGCTTACTGCGACTTTAAGATATTTGACCAAATAACTCCTATTCATTTAAATGAACAACAATTAATAAAACCAAACACAAGTACAGCGTAACTTCACCTATATAGTGTTGGCTATGCTAAAATTTACATTTCTAACAATTACAATTCTAATCACATTTAAATAGTTTAAGATCATTAATCATTTTTTTTTTTTATCCTATTAATTTTGTCATAAAAACATTATTTCCAGGTTTAAATTTGTAAATTAAATTTAAAATCTTGATTATTGAATATATTACTGGCATACATTTTAAACCTTTTTATTAACATTACAGCAAAAAAAATCAACAATTAATTAAAATATTAATAAAAACCCTGCATACCGACACCCATTTAAAATCACTCTGGATCCATTGTACTTCCACAAACAAGAAAAAAAATTCAAATGGCAAATGCTGCAAAACTGTTCATGAATCATTGTTATGGTATAAAGGCTGCTGGCAAATCTTGGACATAACTAGCAGGATGTGTTTTTGTTTGTGAGGAAGTGGCGTGGGTCATGTGGTATGATGGGCGGCTGGGAATGCACCCAACAACAAAACAAGACATAAAACCACCATGTGCAGGGTAAACAGACAACAATGAACAGCAAGTATAAGTAGGAGTATAAATAAATGAGGCAAAACATTCAAAACAAGAAGCTCTCAAAATTCATATAGGAGCAAATGAACAAATAAGATTCTTTAAAACACTACAAGCACATCTGGTGGACACATGTTAAGAGATATCGCACACCTCAACTCTTGTAGAGACATGGCAGAGAGAGAGCATGATGGGAGGAGAGAGGGGAGGATAAATACTCAGAGATCAAAACCTGACTCAAGAGAGAACGATGAGAGAGATATAAACAAGGGATTTATGGGAATTTGATGACAAAGCACCCAATGTCCTGGGACAAAACATGTGCAAGAGATAAACTGTGAGAAAGGGAAAGCATGAGAGCCAGAGATCCATATACAGACCACAGCACTGTAAGCAGTGCATGATACTAGATAACAGTGTCTTATAAAGTAGTAAGTAGATAAATAGATAAAAAATATATAAACTCAAATGCAATTATCAAGCTTAGTGAAATATATATCTGAAAAATAAAAGTTTAACAATAACAGTTCCACTCAGAGATCAAAACCTGACTCAAGAGAGAACGATGAGAGAGATATAAACAAGGGATTTATGGGAATTTGATGACAAAGCACCCAATTGGGTGGGACAAAACATGTGCAAGAGATAAACTGTGAGAAAGGGAAAGCATGAGAGCCAGAGATCCATATACAGACCACAGCACTGTAAGCAGTGCATGATACTAGATAACAGTGTCTTATAAAGTAGTAAGTAAATAAATAGATAAGAAATATATAAACTCAAATGCAATTATCAAGCTTAGTGAAATATATATCTGAAAAATAAAAGCTTAACAATAACAGTTCCATAAAATACATCTCTGAAAAATTAAAGGTGAATAATAAGAATTACAAATTTGGCCCAGTGTTTGTTCCATGTGCTGATAAAATCACACTTATGCTGTTGTTTATGCATTTATAAAACTGTCAGTTTTCATATTCTTGGGCCCGTGCATTAATAATAAAGTTTGATGTTTAATTTCAAGGACATTTTTGTTACTTTTGCACAGTGTAGGGTTGCCCGTTCTTGTCACATGTACAGTAAAACCTGGTTCCGGAAGCAGAAAGAAATACTGTCTCAAAGGGTTAAAATTGCCAAAAATGTAAAACTTTCACAAAACGAGTTGTTAAGCAGACAGTCTCAGACACCATTCACTTCACATTCAGGATTAAAAAAAAAACGCAATCAAAGTGAATGGTGAAAGTGGCTGTAAACGTCTGCCCATCATTTTATTTGGTGTTTAGTGGAAGAAATACAACACAAAGAAATAGTTACACAAGTTTTGAACAATATTTGTATATCAATTTCATGTCTATAAATTCTATAAAATATATACACATCAATTTCAAGTCTATATTTCACCTTATTTGTCTTTGGCAGACGACTATGTCTCAAGACGACTGATTTGTCTGACTGTTTCTGTTTAGGCTACATCCATCATGCAACAAAACATACAGTGTGTGAATTGAAATGTTAATGACAGCTGTGGCAGGTGAGACTGTATACACAGCTGACTCCAATGCATAGTCTCGTTTCAGAAACATGCATGTCTGTAAAACGACTTTCTGAATGAAGTCACAAAATCAACTTTTTTTCTGAAAAAGCGATGTGATCATAAATGCTATATGGTTGTGATTTTCATTTGAAAGATTTTATCACCATCAACAGCAAACACGAGTCAAACGAGGAAAAAACTAATCTTAAATAAAATAAAATAAACAAACAAAAACGATGAACTCTGTAACGTTAACATTTTAAAAGCATTCTTTATAACGTATAACACGCTTGAGAGGCTGTAAAAATTTGCTTTAAAGTGTAGATCCAAGGACTTACCTTGACCAAATTAAGCCACTGAGAAAATATCCACAAAAGGACAGAAAAAACGCAGACTTATTTTATTGCACGTCCGATTTCGCTAACATGTTACTCATTGAAGTTTTCTTTTATGCACGAGCTCAAAGTTTCTCGCGTTTCTTCTCTTGCAGAGGCTGCAACTCAAGCAAGTAATTTCTACGAGCCCTAAATACAACAAGGACGAAACCATCTATTCGCAGTGACGGGGGTTAGCCACTGATAAAATGGCTAGAAAATATTAAACATTCACCATTTTTAATAAATTATAAGATATAGTTACATTTCCAGGCAATTCGGATACATGTAAACCGCATTAAAATTGCATTCCTGTCCAATTTGGAGCTATAAATCCAAGATATCCCGGCAAGTTGTTTTAAAGGTTTCGTCTGAAAAGCGGACAGGTGAGGCTGTGGCGTCCGTAACAACCATGTGGTTTCTAACTTAAACGTCGCAGACAGGA